CTCGTTTTGCCAACCTTGTTCTGTGAAACAGTTGAACTGTGCCTTTTTGAAACACTGGAAACTAAACTCCAGCCCGAGGCGCTGACCCAGGCTGGAAAATCTTCAGCACAAACAGTTAAAGTCTGGAAGCAGAAAAGCAGAGGTGCCGAAAAGTGTACAAGGCAGAGCTGACGAGAGATGTTCCTGCCAGCTCTTTTAAACACATGGACTTCTGATGCCGGTCTAAATGGCTTTGGGACACTGTGCACATGCTGTGCTCGACAGACTTCCTTTTCCTTGGGTCAGGGAGAATTTGGCTGCTCTGGGCCTGGTAACAACCTTTTGGAGGCGCGGGCATCCTTGCGACATGGCAATCCCGACCAGGGCAGGCTGTAACAGCCCAGTAACTGTCTCGCGTTCAAGAAATACTCCAGGCTCAGTTGACAGAAGGGTTGGGAAGGCAGCTCCAGAGCTTGTTAAACTGTACTGAAGCCCCAAAAGCCTGTAGTATTTTTATTTCAGAGGGGATTAAACCCATTGATGGCAACCACCCAGCAAGTCACAGTCTGAGGGACTCTCACAGAGGAGGGTCCTCACCAACAACATTTCTGACCTCGTAACTCAGTTGTCATCTTTGACTCCAAATTTGTTTGAAGGGGTTGATGGGACATTGGAACCCGACTCTGACTTGTCTTTGGCAGGGCCAAATGCTGGACACACATCTATGGGGCACAATCCCTGCCCTGCAGAGCTGACCTGCTCCATGACTGGGAGAAGAAACAGCAGCACCAAGAGGCAAACAACTGACCCAAGGCCACACCACCAGCGTGGGTGGCATCCTGCATCCCACCAGCCCTCACTGGTGCCGGCTCTTTGCCTGGTTAAGAAATACCATGACTAGAAACGCCATCAGGGCCAGCCTACAACGGAGCTTCTAGTATTACCACCTCCAGCAGAGCTGCTTGGTAGGAAAACAGTGCTGATATTTCTGTTTTGAAAGCAAAGTGTTCTGTAGACAGCCTGTATCTCCAAGGAAGGGGGAATATCTAATCACCTCTGGAGAGCAACCAGAACAACATGCTTTCTATCTGTAATGATAATGATTTCTAACAGTATCACCCTGTTCCCA